GCTCCTAAACACGCTCCGCACTTAAACTTGAGCCGCGTTATAAAAGTGATAGCCAATCCTGTTATTCTGTTCAGAGGGCCAGACAAAGGTCCTTGTAGCGGTGGGTGCTGCTGGCTGACTACTTTCCCTCTGATTAGTAATTTAAAATATTAGGAACAACTGTTCCTGGATAATCTTAAACGTCTCTGAGCTGGCCATTTAGCTCACATGCGCAAGAGGTGAAGTTCAGATTTAAAATTTCGAAATGTATACATTAATATATTTATATACACTTGACCTCCTTTATTTTTATTTTTTACTTATTTTTTTCTTAAATGTTAGGTTATCATTTTAAAATTGTTTAAAAATACATCTTAGTACAGGGGTGTCAGTATTTGTTTTTAGACTTAAATTGCAAAATGGCTGACTTTATAAGATAAGATAACTAGTAGCTAGTCACGTGAAATTGTTTCACAATGATAATACTTTACAACCAATAGGATAGAGAAAGCAATATCTTTTCACATAAGAATGTTTTACTAATACTTGATAAGCTAAGAGAAAAGCCTACATTTTAGTATAGTCCATGTTCACAGAAGTCATGGCTCAAGTCTATTATCCAGAGGTATCGCTTCCTGAATCCACACAAACTGCTATTAACAACATTTTAGAAAGAACTGGCTTTGTAATTAACCAAGAGAATGGACAGCGGAGGATGGGTTATCCTTCAAGCTGGGACGGAACACCCCCGCCAAAAGGTTGTGAAATTTTTGTAGGAAAACTACCTCGGAATATATTCGAAGATGAACTCTTTCTTACCTTTGAGAAGGTCGGGGAGATATTTGAGATTCGACTGATGATGAACTATGACGGCAAAAATCGTGGTTACGCCTTTGTAACATTTTTTAACCCTGAAGATGCCAAAACTGCTATAAAAAAATGGAACAATTATGAAATTCGAAAGGGTCATTTTGTGGGTGTTTGCAAATCTGTTGATAACTGTAGACTTTTTATCGGCGGAATCCCCAGAAACAAAAAGAAAGATGAAATTTTAGGAGAGATGAAGAAACTGACAGAAGGCGTTGTTGATGTGATTGTTTACAGTCATGTTGAAGACAAATCAAAAAACAGGGGTTTTGCATTTGTGGAATTTGAAAACCATAAAGCTGCAGCGATAGCCCGTCGTAAATTGATGAATGGAAAATTCCAGATGTGGAACCACGACATTGCTGTGGATTGGGCAGAACCTGAACGAGAAGTTGATGAAGAAATTATGTCAAAGGTACGTATCGTATTGCCTCGTCATTGTTTGCTTGTTTGTAGTTTAAGCACAAAGCTACACAATGGGCTATCTGTGCTCTGCCCAACACGGATATCGAAACCCAGTTTCTACTGTTGTAAGTCCACAGACATACCGCTGTGCCACTTGGGGACTATGCCTCGTCATATGGTTAAACAAAAGATTTGTTTGTTTGTTATTAAGCACAAAGCTTCACAATGGGCTATCTGTGCTCTGCCCACCACGGGTATCGAAACCCGGATTCTAGCGTTGAAAGTCCGCAGACATACTGCTATGCCACTGGGGGCATAAACAAAAGAAGTTTAAAGGTAGGTTAATATGAATGTGTTGAATATGACGCTTTTAATGCTGATCAAATTGTATATCAGTGAGGCGTTAAATATTTTGTTTATAAACGATATCTCTTTTCCTTGTAAAAGTTCTTTATTTGTTTATCGTATCCAAATCGAAGTTGGCTCAGCAGAAGTTTTAGGACTTATAGCGCTCAAAATTGGGTTTCGATACTTGCGAGGGACAGAGTACAGATAACCAACTGTATGGCTTTGCGCTTAACAATAACCAAATCAAGGGTTTTGAATGTGCATGTGTTTGTTTGTTTTGATAATAGAGTATAAATAAAGCCCCAGTTAATCATAGGATAAAGGACCATGTTTAATATGCGTGTTTTTGTATTTTAAGATTGTACTTTCTTTTAGCAAATCTACTCCAATGCTACAGGCTTAACTGGTGGGTGGGGTCGTCACGTGCTGCTAACGTGGCGTCGCCATCTTGGGACCTTGTTTATAACTTGAATTTGTATTTTCCGATGTTATTAAAAAACGCTTTGAGTTTTTCAAAATTTAGCATTAATTGAATTATGAATTAATTTTAGACAATCACCGTTTTTGATATAAATGAATTAACTTCAAGTTTTTGTTAATGCTTAGTATTTCATCTTAAATTCGTTTTCTGAATTTTTTTGTATCGTTACCAACGAAATCCAGTTCAAGAATAAAATAGATAAGTCCAGAAAACATTGAGAAAACAACAAAGGTCTGAATATTTAAAGATAAAAATTAAAATTGAAATAAACATTCATTCACATGTAGATTTATGTGTCAAGATAAATAATTTTCTACCGAGAAAATTTTAGAATTACAAAAATAGCATTTAATTGATTGGCCATGGATATTTAAAAGGAAAGCAAAAACCTAGGTAATATTAAAGACTTATGATCATAATTTATTAAAACTATATAACTCTCCCATCCCAGTAATATGTTTAATGAATGATATTATGGGCGTGGTAATTCAACAACGCCATTTTGTAAGATTTATCGAATTCCTACAATTTGGTAATTTCAGATATAAAAACATGATTTATATAAATAAAAACAGCAATGAGCACGTTTAAATTAACTTTCACGCAAATAATAAGTGTTTGTTTGCTTGTTTGTTATTAAGCTCAAAGCTCTACAAAGGGCTGTGCTGTGCCCATCGAGTGATGATTTAAGTACTGGTTGTAAGAATCCTGATCCGAATAAAGAGTAGGTTCTATTTGTAAAATTTCTTGGAAAAATCCATATAGAGAAGCTGATGAGAAAGAGGGCGATGAGAAAAGTAGGAAGATGACACTATAAAAAAAGAAAAAAACTCAGATGAAAAATCTAAGGATTATAACAAGACTAAAGCACAATGAGAACTGTATATAACACTTAAGATATTATGTAAAATAGCATTAGTCACATATAGAAGCAATAAATAAATTGAATGAAACACACTATAACACAGGTCTGCGAATTTAAACTTCAGAAAAGTTTTTGCTTTGTTTGTAATTAAGCAAAAAGCTACACAATGGGCTATCTGTGCTCTGCCCACCAGATAAAGAACAAAAAATGACTTACTTAAATATATACAGAGAACAAAAGAAATAAGAATAAGACGAAACGTTTCATTAAGATAAAATTAAACAGTCAGTCAAGGTGATAATGAACATTTTGTAGGTCTGCTAAAGGCCAAACTACAGTTTCCTTGCATTTTGATAAACTTTCTCTCTGATTAGGAATATAATCCACAATAGGTGGACCTGGAACTCTGAGAAAGTTGTTTATCTTGTTCAAGTATGCTAGTCAGATTAAACTTTGTACTTACAAAAATTTAAACATCTAAGAAGCTCAGATTTTACTGGGTGGTTGTACTGTATTTATTCAATGGCTGATCTTTCAGGATGATAGAACACACACCATACTGCTTAATGAGGAAAAATTCTAGTATTCGTGTATACTTTTTCTTTGTTATATATATATATATATATATATACTAGCTGGAGTTTGACTGAAGTTATGTAATATCATGATTAACGAAAGGTTATCTTAGGACATGAAAAGTTGCTTCCCTCATATGTAATTGTAAAAAAATGCAAAAATCCCCATAAAAACTGCAAAACACAAAATGCAAAACTGATAATCTGTATGTACCCCCGCATGGACCTAATGAACCTCCACACCAATGTTGGTGAAGATCCATCCACAACCTGCGAAGTAGTTACATGGACATACAACAGACAGTACTATTATATTTACGTATATATATAACACTGTCACTTGAATTTGATTAAATATTGAACTGACAGAAAGTTCATAAGGAAGTAGCATATTAATGGTCTTTTATCAATCAATAATTATTCCGTGAAGGACAGAGTAATTGCCTAATAAAATAGGGCAGATAAAGGGAATATTATTTATAAAATACAACAAAATGAGAAGAACCTTCATGGATACAGAAGGTCTTGTAACTGGTTTGGTGTTTCAGACCAACAGCTAATAAATGCATCCAATTGCTTCATATCTTGACCAGTGGTGGTATAACGAATTACTTGTGGATTTTCTTTAGCTAATCACCTAGTTTCTTTAGCAAGTGTTATCCTAGGCAGTCTAAAATAATATATGTGAAGCTTTTTAATCCCATTCTAAAACTGTTAGTTACCAGGCAACTTGAACATCTAGAGAACATCATCATTACATGAACCAAACGAAAAGTCCTTTCTTGCAATATTCATTGTCCATAGTGTTTCTTCTTCTCTACCTTCTGTTACCAGGTTTGCTTGGAGGTATATAATTTAGCTAGAGAATCACGGGTCTGAGACATAAAAGCCAAGGGAACACTTTGTGATGGTGTATTTTGGTTGCAGAATTCTTGTTTGATGTTGTTTATACTGCTTCTCAGAGTTGGTAGACTCGTCAAAATGAATCTCAAGCTATTTCTACATGTGTGAACTCTCGTCTCTACTATTTTCAGTTTGCTTGGAAACTTTTTGTAGTAAAGTATGCAAGACCTCTGAGCTGTTCCATTTTTGACACTATACACCAATTTGGTATCTACTGAATGATTGTACCTACCTAAAGATATACAGGATTAAAAAAACACATATGCGTATGTATACAATTATTACTCAGAACTTCCGAATGAAAGCAAAGAAGAATGTATAATAATAACTTACACTTGTAATGATACTAAATTAGTCCGAACTGAAAAAAAACTTCAGTTTTAAAGAAAGGCTAACCAGTTTAATTTCAAATACCTTAGTAAATTTTAATAGACATACCTTATTCTGACTCATAACAAACAGCAGAAAGTTGTGTTTGTTTGTTTGTTTTGAATTTCGCGAAAAGCTACACGAGGGCTATCTGCACTAGCCGTCCCTAATTTAGCAGTGTAAGACTAGAGGGAAGGCAGCTAGTCATCAACAACCACCGCTAACTCTTGGGCTACTCTTTTACCAACGAATAGTGGGATTGATCGTCACATTATAACGCCCCCACGGCTGAAAGAGCGAGCATGTTTTAGTGTGACGGGGATTCGAACCCGCGACCCTCAGAAAGCGAGTCGAGCGCCCTAGCCACCTGGCTTTGCCGGGCCGTAGAAAGTATTGATGAAACATAATTGCAAGTGCAAATATGACGTGCTACAACTCTCATGACTCATCTCCTGATGCTGAACTAGTGGAGCGCACACAAAACTTCCTCAGTTTTAGGAAAGTGCAAAAAGTTAAAACCTTTATCACGTTATTCAATATCTTTATCTTTTTGTGACATTATTTAGGCTTAGTTTGAAGAATTGTTAGTTTAGTGAACTTTTTGATCAGTGTTTAAATATCTGTAGTTTCAAATCGAAATTGCTTCATATTCATAACCGAGGTCTTCAAGTGCCTTTAAAAATAGTTTCAGGCTTAAAATTGAAGTTTTCATCAAAATAATTTTAAATTAAAACTGTAAATTTAAGCAGTTTCATAAATGAAATCAAATCGAACTTGGAACTTCTCTTTCTCACACCCTACCCGGGTTTTCTTTATTCAGACAACATAGGTTTACTCTTCCAGTACAAATTTAACTTTGGTGGAACTGCATTCATTTTTTTCATTTGGATCTCAACCGAACTGTTATTCTATGAAAAACCAACATCAGTAGTCTTCATGTTCTTATCAAACTTTTGACTTCAAGCCCGTAGCTCTGGAATGTAAAAAGAATTGTCAATTATAGAAATTTATAAGGTAAATGATCTCGTAGGAAGATGTTAACAAATATAGAAATTATGGGGCTGTTGGGGGGGGGGGGACTGCACCGCTGACCTCACTATTTTAATGACGTTTGCGCTTATTTTTAGAACTTACATAATAAGTGACGCTTTGTCAACAGTCAACTTCAAGCTGTAGAAACCATTTCAACAGTCGCATGTAAATCATATACACCAACCATATTACCACGTGTTAAAAAATGGAATACCTCAAAGATGAAAACATAGTCACACAAATCACAAAATCAACGAATCAATAAAAAATAAAATAAACACACTGCCAGACTGGGGGTTTTGTTTTATAATGTTACTGCGTAAGTTTCACGCTTCCAATTATTTTACTAAATATCATATTAATTGTGACAGATATATCTTTATGTAATGAAAGAAACCTTCTACCTGTACTGATGGTTCTTTGTCTTTGTGCTAGGGCAAAATACAACAGATAAGATGTCACCATTTTCTATATTACATTTTTTATACCCTGACTTGTTCTACCCTGCAGATAACTTTCATACGCTGTGGCCCTATTGTAACTTACTGTTGTGCTTTTGGGAGTGGCGTGCTCATGTGATCTACAAAAAACAACTTGAAATCAAAATAAATGATTTAGCTTTATCTTCTAAACTTTGATTGTGTATTTGATTTGGGTTTATGGGCTAAAATAATATCCAAAGTTAATTTTCAATAACAATTTTATGTATGTATAATTACGCTTCGTGTTCCCATTTTTTAAAATATATGTCAGGTTACATATACGTACACGATTCTTATACAGTAATGAACATACTTGCTATATATTTAATACGTGATATACTTAATTCTTATCTTGAGTATATATGAGAAATAAAAGAAATAAATCCAAAGAGCCCTAACAAGTTATCAGTAAATGCTTGTATATTTCTACAGATAAAACACACCCACAGAACTACGCTATAATTCTGTTGATATATCTAGTGCTAACAACTTTGCCCTCTGGCGGATGTAAGTACAATTTCTGTGCACATTTAAAATTGTAAAGGAAATGTTTTGTTAAAAAAAGTCTTAGTAGTGTAAAGACCACACGTAAAGCTGTCGACCAACGTGTCATAAATATTTATCTCCGAGATTATCAGTAAGTAATTTGAACATCTAATTTTATCCAATACCATTGTAACTAACGTGAAGTTAAACTCCCTAACAATTCTCGATGACACTCGACTTGAGACAGTAAGTACCAAGAGTCGCGAAATAATCGGTATCTATATTGCCATGATTTTTTAGTACGTGCTGTAAAAGACCATAATAACTGTTCCTTCGGTTGGCGTTATGATGCGTGCTAGAACACTGGATGGCAAATGGTTAACAATTTGCGATTTGGAGGGGAAAAAACGGATTGTCTCGAGGATGGAATAATGTGTATGGTTACAATGAATATGCGAAACAAAAAGGCACGAAATCATTCTTCCAGTCTCCTAGGGACTGAGAAATGCAAGTAAGCCTAAGATTATTTAAATTATTATATAATCAACTCGTGCAAAAGTTATAAAATTAAGTTACCATGCAACGTTTTGGTGCAACGAAGGATTTTAATACAATTATTATGTCACGAAACATAAACAAGTTGATCCTCAGAAGTGATAAGATCAAGTCACAGTTAAAAAATAGTCCGAGACACCTACCGATCTTTATAATATGGTATTTAAAATAAATAATTTAAATTAAAAAGGTAAGATAAGATGTACATGATATAATTTATCAGTTTACAATACATAAACATGGGAGCACTACATACAAATTTTTACATGTTCTACAGTAAGTTCACAATACATAAACATGGAAGCACTACATACAAATATTTACATGTTCTACAGAAACTTCACAATACATAAACATGGAAGCACTACATACAAACTTTTACATGTTCTACAGTAACTTCACAATACATAAACATGGAAGCACTACATACAAATGAGATTCAGGAATTCTAATCATTGGTGAATATAGTTCAAAAACTTTGTAATGGAACTCTCAGGTCTCAAGACTTTGTTTAGAATATCATTTGCATCTTTCAATATTTCTAGTGATTCGCAAAAATTATGTTTTTGGATTCAGGAACAGTTGAACAGCAGTTCAGTTTGTGCCATAAGATATCATGTTCCTCAGATAGTACGGACTTTTTTCCTCCAATATTACTCTGGTGTTCTTTCACTCTTAGCTTTAAATTACTAGTAGTCTTGCTAATATATATATATATATATATTGTAAACACTACATTTATCAAAAACAGTCAACGAGTCTTAAGTGATGGTAAAACATTTAATTTTTAAAGATGATAAATAAACACTTTTTATTTGTTTGTTTGTTTTGAAGTTAAGCACAAAGCTTCACACCACGCGTATCGAAACCCGGTTTCTAGCGTTTTAAATACGCAGACACATTTCTGTGCCACCGGGGAGCCTTTTTATTTGAATACATTTCGAAAAAACTCAGTTTTGTAGTTACAACGAATATATATAGTAAATACAATTTATCTTTGGTTTGTACGAATGGGGTTATTTCCGTTTTTGGTGAAATAATTAACGAGTTCTTACATTTCTTCAAAGCTAAGTTGCCCGCTGGCGACTCAGAGGCAAGTCTGTGGGCTTATAACGCTAAAAATCTGGTTTCGATACGACTGTTGGCAGAAATTAGATAGCTCATTGTGTAGCTTTGCGCTTAAAGACAAACAAACAAACAAAAAGAAGGCTGGGTCGATTACTTTACCATCGTATTCCCTATCCTTTGAAATACCCTTAAGAATTTTAATTTCTCCGTTGAGATAATAGTTAAAAAAACAAATTTTAACAGTTTCCTTTAAACAAAAGTTTAGAAAGCCGGAATTTTAAATCAAAATGAATAATAAGATTTGCTGTGTGGTAGGGTTTCTACATTGACAGTTTTACCATCGAAGAAAAATGGTCCAACGATATAAGATGTCAGAAGACACCATACATTCCCTTTTGGGGAGTCTCGAATGTGTTAGCGAGTTGGCTGCGGCTTCTCAGTGCCCCAAATTATGGAGTTATGTATTAAAAATTTATTAAACAAAACTTCAAAGACTACACTAACTGTCCCTTATATGTTTCAATTGGAAAGTTGTACATTCTTGTAATAATCAGGAAAACAAAATGAATACCTCCTAGTGGGACACTCTCTACTGTATAAAGTTCTGCATTCTTATTTAATCAACGAGGACAGCACGATGTCAGAATATTAATTCCCCCTTTTATAGGAAAACTTTTTCTTTTATCTTCAAAATTATTTGAGAATTTTGTAGGATTTGAATCTTGATCTTTTACTGACCCGATTTCGTAATTTCATCCCACACTCCCCATCCTAAATTAACATTTGAAAGATTTAGTTAATTATATTTTCGTATTAGGTAACCGTCATCTATGCCCGTAACTTCATGGTGGTTACCGACGAGGAAAAGATAAAACAAGCATTTTCTCTTAATGGCGAATTGCAAGTAGAAAGAGTTAAGAAACTCAAAGACTACGCTTTTATACATTACCACTCACGTGAAGATGCCGACAACGCATTGCAGAACATGAATGGTAAGTCCAAAAATGTGTATTGAAAGATTTTTCAAGTGTAACTTAACACACCCACAGTTGGTATTGTAATGTTCATTATTTTTGTTCGTGTCTGTATCTAATTTATATTGGACTTAGAAACAAACAAAAATGTATTTTACTTTCATTATCACTATAAGCCATCAAAATACCTAAAATTAAAACTTCATTACAACGATGTTCGAACGAGACATTTTTTTTTCTTCAAAATCTCGAGTAAATTTAACTTTCAAAAGGATTGTTAATTGTTGGTTTGAATTCCAGTGGCAATACAAAAATCTTAAATAAAACATTTAGGCCATATTGTTCGAACAGATACTTCTTTACACAAGATTGCTTAAGGTTGGTAAAAGTTAAAAACAAGAATTAGTAAAGGGATGTTAAAATTTCAATGTCAAAATGAAATACCACTCTCCAATGTAGCTAAATTTGATGTTTATACTGAGATAATTTGACTCGGAACAGGTAATGATGAACGTCTGAATTTGAATATTAGTAGTTCAATAGCGGACCAAAGACCGGAATGAATTAGTTATAGCTAATCAAATAATTGAAAATAAACATTAAGCTTCTTAGATAAAACCCTTTAGTCCCCACTGTATTTTGTGTGAAAAATCCAAAATTTATTGGAAATAGCTCAGAAATATTCACAGAATTTTCTACCAAAATATTTTATTTTATTTCTTAGGAACGATTATAGATGGCGCGGTAATCGAAGTAAGATGGGCCAAACCACCTGATGAGCGTAATCGACAACGAAACAAGGGAAATATGGACACAGCTGCTGGAAACCCAGTGCCTACCTTTTATTTTCAACAACCTAATTCGCAACCTGTGGTATACCTTCCTGGATATGCACCGCCTGTGCCTTATGTTAGGTACGTTTGTTCACACAATTTGTGTTTATTAAAGAGGAAGCTGATAAATTCTAGATAATCACATAAAAAATAACACCAAATTGAAATATGTACAAGTTTTAATAAAAGATAGAACGTCAGCTTTAAATACTGTAACTGGTTATACAAGATCGACTCCTACTGTGATTGTTATCTAACCAAAATAACAACCTTTATTTGACTTTATTGGAATTGGAGAGATTAACTGGTTATTTATTTTAAAAAGTCGACATTCGAACTGTTTAAATCAGTTATTGGTCGCACATACTTAATATCAAACCATTACCTATTATGAGTAGAAATGCTAAGGTGAAAAATGCGCAAAAAAGGTTTTTTACTGCAGTAGCGACAGAATAATTGTCCTAAAGCAAAAACAAAGAAATCGACACAGTTTCATATACACGTATGTTGTCCAAAATTTATGTTTTAACAGAACATTAAAATCCTTTCAATTTTGTTTTCAACCCTGTGCTTTTTTTTTCTGATAATACTATTTATTCTTTATGTAAGTTCCCGAAGTTGTAACGGTTTAAAAGCGATAAATATAAGTAACTCGCAACCTGAGGGTCGCGGGTTTGAATCCCCGACACTGTACATGTTCACTTTTTCAGCCGTTGGGGCGTTTTAGTGTAACGATCAATCCCACTCTTCGTTGGTAAAAGAGTAGCCTAAGAGTTGTCGGTGGGTGGTGTTCACTAGCTGATTTCCCTGTAGTCTATCACATATTGGTCAGAATCTGTATGAGATTTGTTTCTTCACTCGTGTAGCTTTGCGCGAAATTCAAAACAAATATAAGTGAACTGTTCTGTTCGAGTTACGGACAAATCAACGATATTTCCTGCCCTTATACAATATTTTCTTAACAACTGTTCACACTGGAGCTTTTTTTCTCAACGAGATTTTGTTCATTTGGAGAACAGTGCGAATAACGTTGTTTGGTAAAAGAACTGAGTTTGTTCCGCTTGAAAAACTTTAATGAGAACATTGGAGAGTCTCGGTGAGTGCTGAAAAAATACGGAAGTGAACCATGAATACGAACTGCAGTGTATTTCCAAACGAACTCAGCACATTCATCAAAGTCAACGAACTGAACTGAGGCTGCTTGAAACTAACCTAGTATGAATACTGCTTTAGACGAACCAGTGTGGATGGAGAAGGTAAGATAAAAAAAAAAGAAAAAAGAACTCGCTTGCTTATGAATGTATGCATGTTAGTGTTGTCACACACGCACAACTACAATGATAATGCTGGAAACCATTTTCGGGATTTTGTTAGTAGCAACGAAGCTAGGCATTGTATATAATATTTTATATACAAAACGTACGATCACTTCTACATGTCCTTTCTTACTTTTACTGGCTAAATGAACGATCTGAGTTAAGTTTGTTATCTATTCTTTCAACAGAACAATTTAATGTTTTTACTCACCAGTCTGGAAGTTCTTGTTTTTTTAAAACGAATAACTATGTTGATATGTTAATGAAGAAAGGTTCCCCAGTGTCTTCTAACGTAAGTTTGTCGTCTGTTTGTTGCTAAAACGGTATATTTCGTAGCTCTGCAATAAAACATGTTTCATTTTTTCGCCACCAGGTGGCTCAGTGGTAAGTGTTATTTTTAAAATAATTTCAATCGAACCAATAAGTTATGAAAATTGTATTTGGAAACATTTATCTATAAAGAATAATATAAATATTCATTAAACTCTAGAAAAGTTAAAAATATATTAAGTATCTAACAGGAATATTAGATTATAGATTAAATTGGAAAGAACACATTATTATTAAATTAATAGAAAAAAAAATATCGCCAATAAGATTTTACTGTTTAAAACATTATTTATCGTAGAATAAAATGGAAAATAGTTATTATTCATAATTTGGTTCAATTCCAGAATATGGTATCAACTGCACCTATCTAACAAATTTAAGAGTTTTAATACAGTTACATAAAATATTATCAAATATATATTATCATTATTACAGTATTACTATTGTAAATTACATTTGCAAAACCAAAATGTACTACCGCTACGTAAATTATATATTAACAAAACATTAAATAGATTCAATAAAGATAATCAAAGCTGTCAAAAAGTAAAATCAATATACCAAACAAGAGCTGAAGAACATGGAAATTTAAAACTTCCTGAAGTAGATAAAGAAATGTTTAGAAAAAAAATAAGTTCCTTATATCAAGCACCAATACCGTATACTAATACTCCAAATGAAATAAATCTATTTTTAGTAATGAAAACATAGATATTAAATTAGTATTAAAGAAATTTTTAACTCGTATAAAGGAAGCTATATATTTGACATGTTAAAATAACTGGTTATGAATTTCGCGCAAAGCTACACGAAGGCTATCTGCGCTAGCCGTCCCTAATTTAGCAGTGAAAGACTAGAG